CGCGCGTCGTCGTCGTCGTCGTCGTCGTCGTCTCTCTCTCTCTCTCTCTCTCTCTCTCTCTCTCTCTCTCTCTCTCTCTCTCCGTCCCTCCCCCCCCCCATTTACCGGTCGCATCGGCTCGTCCCTGCAGCGCGGGCCGCCCGTTTCGTATAGAAGCACCGTCGAGGCCCATGAATTATTCTCACGGCTCTGCCCGTGGGAAAATACGAGAGTTGCGCCAGTAGGCATCGTAAATGCGGCTGCTAATTGCGCTCGCCGACGACGACGACGACGACGACGACCACCGTTAGCGCGCCTCCTGAATATCGCGTTCTTTCGCCACCGTTATCGCTTCCCTCCCCTCCCTCCTCCCCCCCCGGTATCTATCGGCCAACCCCCTCCTCCTCTCTTTCCCTTTCTCCCCTTTTCGCCTCGCTCGATTCGCCTCCTCTCGATTAATCGACAGATTTTCCAGCCTCGCCATTTACGGGTGACTGGCCTGATTCGACTGGCCGCGGGGATATTTAGGGGGGCAAAACTCTCCTCCTCGGTCGAGCAGCAGCGGCAATAGCGGTGGTGGTGGTGGTGGTAGTAATGGTAGTGGATCGTCGTTGCCGCAGGACGCTCGCTCTCCAGCTTTTTCCAGCTTAAATTCGATTCCCGTGTAGCCCCTATAAATCGCGGCTAATCCAGTTTTCGGCCGCGCGCACCGGTTCACCGGCCGGTTTCGATTCCCCCCTTTTTTTCCACCGCCCCTCCACCACGGAGGTGGCGCGCGACCAACGCGAGGAGGAGGAGGACAATTATAGACCGAATTAACAAGGTCGATTCGAGGATCGATCGAGTTGACTCTTAACGGCGGAAACGTCCCTCCGATTCGTTGGATCTTCGATACGTCGTTTCCTCTCTTCTTCTTTTTTCTTTTTTTCTTCCCGGGATAGGATCGCGGAGAAAGCAAAGCAGGGAGAAAGGATTCTCTCTCTCTCTCTCTCGTTCTATATTTCGCGGAAATACGTCGTCGTCCGTCGCGAGATAAAAATAAGGGTGAATCCCTATTTTTAGTCCCCCTCCCTCCTCCTCCTCCTCCTCCTCCTCCTCCTAGCAACGGCATTCATCGAATCGAATATTCGAGGAGAATAATATTTATCCGCGGAGGAGAGCCTGGTTGGAGTTTCCGGGTTCCGATTCCACGTTTTTCGAAAAACGTCGAACGGCGAAATGAAGGGGGGAGAGGAGGGAGGGGAGGGATGGTGATCGAGGGGATGGCGCGCTGTAAATTCGCGACGAGTGGTGGGCGAAGGGGGGTAAATAAAAGTAGCGGCGCGATATATCCTCCTCCGCGCGTGGAAATGGAAAACGCGTTGAACGAGACGATCGATCTGCCGGGCTCGAGTCGCCGTTTCGAATCGATGGTCTCTCCGTTGCCGCCGCTGTTGCTGGTCCATTAGGACTGTGTGCACGCGACACGGAAAATTCATCGCTCCTCGTCCTCTCCCTTCTCCAACTTTTCCAACTTTCCATCCGATCCAGAGATATAAGATTCTCGTCGCCCGATCTTATTCCAATATTATTGTCCGTAATATTCTCCGTTATATGTGTGTGTGTGTATATATATATATAAAATTGAATTAGACGTTTGTCGAGGTATGCAGTCGCGTCCTCTTTGATCCGAGTTCTTTCACCTCGGTCGGTCGGAGGCGAGGTTTCGTAAATAGCACTCTAGCCGTGACGATACGTGCGATTTTCTCAGTTGGCTCGTAGTCACGCTACGGATCATCGAACCCCCTTTGTTCTCCCGCCTTAGTTAGGAATAAATAATTCACCGAGCGTCGCGAAAAGGGCGGATCGCTCGTACGCGAATTTTTTCGCCAACCCCCTCCTTCCTCGACTCTCGTTCGTTCCGTCTCTCCTTCTCCTCTCTCTCTCTCTTCCGTGCAATCGAACCCCTCGCCACGCGATCGCGTCGAAGGACCGGCGACGAAATTCCGGGGGAGGCGAAATCGAATTTAAAAAACGGTCGGGAAGAGGTGGAATCGCGTGGATCGATCGATCGATCGATCGTGGGATCCATTAGACGATGGTGGAATCCTCCATAACTCGCGTTTCGTGCTCGCGGGGAATAAAGCGACGGCTGGCCGCGAGTGTAACTGGTTCGCACGAAACGGTGGGTCGCGCGGAGAGGGTGACTCAGCCCCCGGAGAATTCTCTCTCTCTCCTCTTGGCAAACGTGTCGAGTCCTTTTTCGTTCGGGCCCGTGCTTGTCGTCTTCGTCGTCGTCGTTGTCGTGGCGCGGCCGTCGGGATGCAAATGGACGATTTCGTACGCGAGTCACGCGTGTCTCCAAGCTGCACACGGCCGAGCGAGAATAATAAGTCGCGATTAACGACGCCGCCTCGTTCGCTCCGTTTCGTCCCTTTCGCCCTTTTTTTTCCTTCTTCCTCTCTTCTTCCATCCTCCTTTCTCTCCTTCCCCACTCGATTCGATCTCGATAAATCGTGGTCCACGTCGCCCCGACGTTGATCGTCGATCGAGACTCGTACGATTCTCGATTAAGTAAAAAAAAGGAAAAGGATGGTCGAACGATTGGACAACGAAACGAAACGTTGACTCGGAGGAGTCGTAAGAGATGTCGGACAGGATGGCCGCGAGCGGGGTTCGCGCGATTTTCGTTGGCGGAATATGGAGCGGAAAAATATCGGAACGTTAACCGGTAACGATGCTCTGCCGTGCGTTTCCGCTCGAAGGATAACGCTGCCATTCCCGTTCACCGTTATATTCACGACGCGCCGCGTTACATTATGCATGATCGTGGAGCGATCCCGCCGCGCTTCCATTATTCTTTTCCAACCGACACTCCGTATCCCTCTTTCTCTACTACTACCTATATAATATACAATATCTCTCAGGCCGCACCGCCCTGTTTTTCCGCGAACCGTGCGGATTTTTCGAACTGGATTCGACCACCGGTGAAATCTTGCCTCGAACGCGAAACGACCCGGAGCTCGAAACCAGTCGCTTTTCTCTTTTCTTTTTTTCTTCTTTTCCACTCCATCCTATATCTATATTTTTTCTCCCTCCCTTTTTCTTTCTACATATTTTATCTTCTCGGAAGGAAAGAAGGGAACGCGCGATAGAGAGTTATCGTTGGAGGAGGAGGGAGGGTCGACTTGGAAGATCGCGCGAGGGTATTCTTCTCGTTTGATCGCGCGTTCAAAGCGAGAGCGAAGAGATCTCGAGAGCGTGTGACGAAACGCAGGAACGCCACTCTGGGGAACCCACTCGAATCCGGGCATCTTTCATCGAAACGAGCGCTCGCTCTAACGCTCGCTCTCTCTCTCTCTCTCTCTCTAGAAAGAGAAAAAATACGTGTTCCATCTTTTTCTTCTTCTTCTTTTTTCTTCCACGTCGCACGCGTCGCTCGTCTTTCTATATACTCGTGCCTCCTGGCACGAGGTCATCCGATGCTTCCTTCGTGCTTACGTCGTGACGTGGATTGCCCCCCTCTTCCCCATTTCCCACGAACGAGAGGAGGAGAAGGACGTCTCTTTTCGAAGCACGTGCGTCGCACGAAACTTGGAGCATCTCTCTTTTTACCGAAGATAAACCGTTCTCGGAACGAGTACCTATCCCATCCCGATGTTTAAGATCGCGTCATCGAAACGGTTATAACGAGCGCAACGCGTCTAACTTGTTGTGCATCTTAGCAGTCGATCGATTCGATCGAATTTTCGCGCAAACGATCGATTTATCGCCGTTTATTTTTATCATCGGGAGAGTAAACTCTATTGGTCGATCGAAGTGGCGAACTTTGTATATTTTAAATCGCTCGATTCGATGGAATTTTTGCTCCAATTTATTAAGTTATTATCTTCGAATCGCTCGATAATAAACTTTGTCTCTTGGTGGAAACGCGGGGGGTATAGTTGGAACCCACGTGCACGTGGATACCAAGAACGTTTCATCGTCCATAAACTCGCTCGATTCGATGGAATTTTCGCGTAAACGATTTGCGTTAAACTTATTAAATAAATTCTGTCGTCGATCTTGATCGAGGTGCAATTAAAAAACTTGAATGCACGTGAAAGAACGTTCCGTGCCGAAGTCGCTCGTCTCTTGGATCTTGGCGGGGTATAGTTGGAATCACGAACGAAGAACGTCTCTAAAGTCGCTCGATTCGATGGAATTTTTGCGACCGCGCAAACGATTTCCGCTAATTATCAAAATTCTGTTGTCGATTTTTCAATAAAGTCGTACGATTGGAACTGAATAAATCCAAAAATTTTCCATTCCGTCCGAATTTCGTGCGTTCTAAATCGCTCGATTCGAGTTTTAAATTCCGTCGTCGATCTTGATCGAAGTGCATCGAGCGATTAGAATGCACGGGGAAGAACGTCATCGAAGTCGCTTGTCGATTTGTCTCTCGATTTTTTTCACGGGCGCAGGATCGGTCGGTAAACAAGATCCGATCGTCTAGGAAAAGAGCGGAGGGGCGCGAGAGAGAGGCTTTTGTCTCGTCGCTCTTTGTTCGCGTCGACGGATGTCTCGACGGGTCAATGAATCGGGCCCGACGATTCGCCCCGTGGAAACGCGTTCGTTTCGTTGAACCCGCGCAGACTGCATTGTTGGCGTGTTTGCCACTTTGATCGCGATCCACGCTCGCTCGCTCGCTCGCGCTAAACAGACGTCACTATCGGCGCGCGGGGTCGGTGGGCAACTTCATTGACGTAATCGTGGCCCAGATGTGGCGCGTCGCGTCTTACGCAAAGCTAAACACTCGTGTGTACAACTAGGCTCGATTTGGTTGCACAAGCGACGATGCCCCTCGACGATGAAAGGAAAAAGGGTCACCTTTTTCCAGGCGATAATGGGACGGGGAGAAAAGATGACACGGTGACCCGACGCACGACCCGCTTTTCGCCACCGATCGTCTGTCTTTATCTCTCTCCTCTGTTTTCAGGAAATGACCATGCCACCCACGCCGCTCACGGCCATCGCCCAGACGCCGAGGAAGGAGCTCGAGTCGAAGTTCACGTTCAATCCTGTGATGGCGAAGGTGAGAATTTACGCTAATTTATCGTCTCGTAAAAGGTTAGACGTGGGTTTCTATTCCGGGATCACGGTCGCCGCGCACCTCTCGTTTCGATTGGAACGCACGAGCCGTGGCGATGTTAGCGCGGTGTATCGATCGTGGAAACGTTTCGAATTCGTATCGAGAAGTGTTTCGTGCCACTTGGCACCGTGCCAAGAAGCTCGCCGCGCGAGATGTGTACCTACCCGGCCTTTCGTTGCGGGTAAATCGGCTTTCGCGCAATGCCCCTGCCTCCCCATTCTTCGGAATACGAGCCGCGTCGTAATTTCTTCCGCGACGAAACCTCCGTCCGTCCGTCGATCGATCGAACGATCGAACGAGCCTTAACTTTCGTGCCACTTGGCTTCGTGTCAACGGATTTCGTACGACGGAAAAAAGAAAGAAAACGAAAAGAGGAAAGGAGGAAGGGGTCGGTTCGAATAAACGAGATATCGGTTCTCCTCTCCCGAAAACTGGAATCTAATCTCGAACAAGGGATTCTCCTTTTTTTCTTTTCGAAATCGCGCCATTGCTTTACTGCCGTCGACGTCGACGCTCCCGACTGAACTCGAATTTTATTCGCCGAGAGAAATAATCGTGCGAACGAAACACGCGACGTGGCCGAAATTAAATTCGGAAGGGGTAGTGGTGGGGGGGGGGGTAGAACGAAAGATAGAAAGATCGTGGTGGGCATGTAACGGGGAGTTCGATTGGGAAGTCGAGCGGGTTCGCGTTTAGTAGGTCGCGTTTCCTGCGATATTATCACTTCTGAACAATCGGTGTTTTTCTTTCCAGTTGACCGAAGTGACGCCGCAGGAAGCCACGAAGCCTCGTAAGTAAACTTTTCCATATGTGTATATGTGCGTGCGTATGTATATTCGCGCCCGTTGTGCGGGATAATCCGCTCTGATCTGGAATCAGGAAAAGAAAAAAGAAAAAAAAAAGGGATTCCACGTGATATCCGCTCTTCACGCGATCCCGTCCCGCGTCTCGAACTTATCCCATTACTCGATCGAAGCCTCCTTAATATTGCTCGCCGCTTTCCAATATACTCGAGACGAGAAAGAATCGTAATAGCGATTAATCACCCGATCGCCTCGACGAGAGATTCTACTCAGAGCGGTACTGCGAATGAACGCCGCCACCACACGACCGTGATCGACGAGGAGCAAAATATAAAGGAGGAAAAGTGTGTGTCTGGTCGAGAGAGAGCTACTTAACATTTATAGTCCATTACGCAATTAACCGTGGGTGAAACCACGTGGGAAGGGGGTGGGATTTTTATTGCCTCGCGAAACGAGCCTTATTATTTGCTGTGCGATGACAACGATGAACGCCGGAAACGGATATTTCGGGACAGTTTAATTCGTTTCCACCGTTTTTCTTTTTCATCATCTCTTTCTGTCTTTCCCTCTCTCTCTCTC